GATAAGGAATACTGCTACACACGTTTTCCTATTTTGCTCGCATATTATTCTTCATATTCAAAAGTGGAACATAAAGGGATAAGAGAATGAATAAGAATGATATCATCTTACGTGCCGAATCATGTTAAATGATTTGTGAAACCCTGAAAATAAAATATGTTCGTCATGAAATAATTTTTAAAAGCCTTATACTTTAGCATCAGAATATCGCATTTTTTCCTCGCTTTCATTTGGTATAAAATTCATTATGATTGCTGTTTGTTAGCATAGAGTTACCCCCCTGGAAAAACATTTTTACGCACCCTGTATATTATTCACTAATTGAAAAAACTACAATTTTCACATCTTAGCTAAACGATCTTTTGAATGTTCACAATGTATGGACGAAAAGAAGTTACGTGGAGTGTAAATTACACTGTGTAATTAAAAATTTTCATCTAATATTCCAGAAGAACTAGCATATCAAAAAATGAGTCATGTCAACAAAGAGAAACAAATTAATGAAATGTCGATCGAGATTGAGTACACATTAGTCGACTCCGTTTTTGATCGTGATTCCGAATACGATACTTTTATTGCATAAACCCACAAATACCATTTTTCTACTCAGTTATCAATGCTGGATCAGAAAAAAATAGTTTGAAAAGTTGGCATCGTCAAATAAGATGGAAATTCAAATGCTTTCAAACTCGGAGGATTTTTCGACATGAAAAAAGCATTTCGAAAAATTAAAAAGTATATTTTCGGGATCAGCTTGAAACACTCTATCGAAAGATGTATAATAAGTCGGAAAAAAATTTTGCTCGAAGTTTGCATTACTTTCGCCTTATTATTATTGCAATTCATTTAGACCTTTATCTTTGCCAGTAGCACAATTTACTTGACTTTTATAAAAGAAATTCATGTTCATAAAGTTTTTTGAGGCACAATTAAACTTTGCTAGACTTCTTTTTATAATTATTGATAAAGGCTCTTCTGTCGAAGTATAACAGATGCAAGTATGCTGATGAATCCTTGTACTGATGTCAGTAGTCAAAACGAAATAGTTAGAGCAATAGTCTTCAAATCATTAGTCATTCAATAACAATAGTGAAAGGAGATAGAAAGAAAGAGAACAGTAGAGTAGAAAAGGTAAAGTTTGAGTAAAACAAAATATAAATCGTTTAGAGGCTAGGACATAACCATCAATTCAGACACCACAATTAGGAGTGAAAAACATAGGGAAGAGCGCGCAAGTCGGTGCTTTTGTTAGGAGCATAATGCATTTTACTTAAAGCGAACGGTATTAGTTATAAATAAGCAGATGATCTCATATATTTTGGAGTAGTTTGTTATATTAACAGACGATCACGAAAAAACAGTATTTTTGTTGAAGGGAAGCTTAGTACTCTAAGTTGGTTAGTCAACGTATTCCTGGATGCAACATAATTTGGGCATTCAAACAGAGAATGGTTAAGATCTTCGCTAAAAGATACTAGTGGTGACAGCGATAAACAGGGACAGCAGTAGGGAGACGTGACATATTTCCTTTGATACAGACAGCAGTTTAATGGAGGAAAATCTACTCTTGAACGGCAGAAGATAGTCCCTGTATGACGGTTGGCTGTTGGTGGAATTTCGAAATGATTACCTATTAAACTGATCCTTAGTTCTTTCCTGAATATAGATGCTTTTTTCTTTTACAAAATAACGGAAATTTTACTTCCGGTTCATTCCATTTTTTATCATAGTTGGATGAAAAGAATTTTGAATGATCGCACATCATATGTTTTGTTTCTCTAACATTGTCTTTAGTAAGACCTGAGTTCGAATGAAAAGAGAGAAATCCTCATGTTTCTAAACATGTTAACCTTCTTGCAAACATCGTGCCCTCGGTTTCACCTAAGTTGTGTAGCAAAGTCGGAATTCTACACGTAATTCTCAATTTTCTTCAATAAAACTCAACTTCTGTGTAATAAAAATATCCTATTCGAAATCAGGATCAAAAGATGAATCTACTGATGCGTATTTTGAAACTTTTAGTTGATTTTTATTTTTTGGTGAAAATCTCGTGGTTTTTTTAACGTGAAAATTTGAAAAAAAATCAAAGTACTCGGATAGGATAGAGATAAATATCCTCGATTCGTCTTTTGATCCTGATTCGGAATATGTTATTTTTATTGCATAGAAGTTGAGTTTTGTTAGAGAAAATTGAGAATTACGGGCATAATTCCGACTTTGCTACACTAATGATGACTTTTCTCAGTGGAGAAATGAAAGTTTCTTACATTCATGCTTACTTTTGTTCACTGTCGAATGGTGATTCGAATGATGTATAATAGTTGTGGATAGCTGTTGAAACAAAAGACTACATACCCATGTGCTCAAAATCGCTTCATTTTTGTCGATTAATCGCGATGGTTGAAAAAATCGACGCTCAATCGCGATTCGGGAAAAATTCGTCATTTAATCGCGATTAAATGATAACTTTTTCGTGCATCGTGATTAATCAATGATTTTGTCAACCATCGCGATTAATCACGAAAATCGACAATTAATTGCGATTAATTGTTGATTTTAAGTGATTAAATGGTTATTCATATTGTTATTCACCGTTTTCTTTTGCAGTAAAGTATGTATATAAGAAACACGATTTCAACGAGAAATACACTTATATTTAGATCATCTTTTTATTTTAGAGTAAAACGGAGTTGTCAAGAATGTTCTCTATTGTCCATCAGAGCTTTAAACCGAGAAGCCCAGTGAATAGCTAGTATGTGGGCAATGTCTAAAATTGACTCATCGGCAAGGCTCCGACTCCAGCTGGTGCTAAGACCATTGCTGGGTGACCTACATGTCATTATATATAATAAACAATGAAAAAACAGAAAAAAATATGTATTGACTAAGATGGGTTTGAACCTAGTACATAGAAAAAAATCGTCAATTGTTTGCGATTAATCGCTAAAAATCACCAAAAAATCGGCAATTAAGCGCGATTAAGCGCATGATTAATCGAATGATTTTTCACGACTAATTGCCGATTTTTATGCGATTTTTAGTACATGGGTTGGTTTGGAAGAACAGGGTATGGAAACATCCTGGGACGAACTTAGTCCGTCCTGCTCGCAGACATCAGAATGATGATCTACTGTCAAACCTACATGGATATACTCACTTTGTGATGTTGAACTCGAATAAAATAGTTTCAAAAAACTAGAGTGAACGGAAAACGGCCAGTCTTGATTTTTTCTATAACGTCCACTTTTTCACTTTTGTGACTGTTGCCGTATTTTGAAGATTTCTCCCCCAAAACCGGATCAATACTCGATAAAAAGGCGATATCCGAAACCAGCTCGACGAGCACTATTCAACTATGTATGTTTCAAGGAAATCTATTTTTCTGTTTACCTTTCGAATTTGGAGCACCCTACATCTCTTTCAACTTGTTTTAATTTTTTCTTGAGATTATTCAGCCGTTGTTCTAAACGAGTGTTGAGAATCGGCTGGAGAATGTCAACAAGCAACTTTCAATCGATGTCATCACAGTCCTTTGATTTTCATCGTCCTTTTTCATAACGGTTTTCGAAAGATTTTGAATCAAATCATACCAGGACTTTGAATATCATTTTTCAGTACATCGGATAATTCGGCTAATTCGGCACTGAGATCAAATTCAAAGTTTAGTTTCACTGTTAGTCTACTTGAATTATACCTGAATCCCATCTAAATATACTGGACTAGTAAACTATGTGTGTAATATATAAGCTTACTCTCCCTTACAATAACATATACGTGTCGATTGTACAATAAGAAAAGAAATCTTCTAATATACGGATACGCGTTTAGATCTCTTGACGGATATGCGTTCCAGAATTTAATCAATCAAACCACTTTTAGGAGCTCGACTTCGGTCATTTTTCCTTGTCAAAAGTTAGCGTTCAATAATTAAATCAAATAGCTGCTGAAATCAACATTGTTTGGAGTCTATTGACGGTTAAAAAAAAGAATGGGCTCGAATGTTTTTTGAATAACGTTTGACAGAAAAGTGATAGAGACTTGCCTGAATCTCCATCCCCCACCTTGAATCGAGTCTCCAGTTGTTCTCTGCTATATATGAGGCAACGCTCTATTTAGGGCTTAGACAGAATTATCTCCCAAATTTTCTAACGTTGATTCAAGATTCAATGATTGACTATCATTGTTAGAATATTGAATAATAAAATCGATTAATGCTATCGAATCTTTTTTTTCTTTGATTTCGATTTGCCAGCGTTTATTTAAATTCTCATCAAGTGAATTACTATCCAATGAATTTTCAATAAACTCATATTAACTTTTTAAAATATCGAAATCATATAATTTCTGTAAATTCTTAAAAAATGAATCAATACATAAATGATCCATTTCTTGATGCCATTCATGAACATCTGTTTGTATAAGAATTTCTCGAAGATTTTTTATTTCGATTGTATTTTTAAATGTTTCAAATGTAACTGATTGATCACGTCTTTCTTTGATAAATATGGATTCTAAATACTTCTCAAACAATTAATCTTTTATTGAATCGGATTCATCGATTAGAATTTTCTTTTCTCGCCATTCTTTCTCTTCATTAATCCATTGTCGTGAGACTTGATTTAATATCGAAAATGTCACTTCTATGGGTATTTCAGTGTGATTCGTTTGTTCATCTGAATTTGTCAATTGTTCTTGTTGTTCTTGAACAACATTTGATGTCGATGTATCATCATTCGTTGTTCGATTTTCAAGTTTGAAATTCTTCAATTCTAAATTTGTTTTTTGCAAATAATTGATCGATTTGTTCATAGAATAATTGAGAATATGTTGTTATTAATTGATTAGTAGAAGATAAAGAATTATCTATAATTTTCAATGATTTTTTAAGAATTTGATCAATTTTTCTTGATTTTCTATTTGTACATCGAACATCAAATGTGAAGATGAATAGGAAACTTGCGGATATTTTTGGACCTTCTAACTGATTGAGTTTTTGGTAAGTTTCTGATACTCCAAAGATAACTGAAATTTCTATAACCTCAAAAGGTATTTTATCCCAAACTTGCGAGAAGCCATAGAAAGCTTTAGACACTAAACAAATCGACACATTCTAGAGAAAGTACGATGCTATTTGCCGAAGAAGAAAAAGATTTTTTTGAAAATGAGAAAGTCTTTTCTTCATCTTCTCTTCTAACCGCATAAGAAAACACAATTCTAAAAGTTTTTGCTAAGTACAATAAGAAATGATATATTTTGTACATTTGCATTTGGTCTATCTTTTTTTCTTTTTTTATAACTGGGATTTTTCTTTATAACTACGTACCTTTTTAAACATATGCAAACACGTTCATATATATGTTTGTCAATAACACGATGAATCAATCCTGATTCTTCAATTTCCATTAACAAATGACACATTTCATGTACAGCATTATGTTTTATTAACAATGTTATAATTCGCTTAGCTAATACTGATAATTTTTGTGTAGGATCGACTTTTTTCAATTCAGATGCTATTTCAGCTGATAAATGTCTGTAAATAAAAATAATAAAAATAAATTTAGTGATAAATAAACAAAAATATGAATAAATTTTGGATCTTACATAATATATTCATGTCCCCATGGATCAATATCTTCACTGGAACTGAATAAACGATAGTGTAACATTTCTGTTGTATTAGTTAATGCCATTGCAACAACAGAGACAATATCGGCACATAATGACTAAAACAGAAAAAAAAAATGAACGTTAATTAAGAAAATATTAGTAGAAATTAGTTTAGGAAAACATCATGATTTTAAAGGAGATAAATTTCCACTGCTCACGCAAATCTTTCTTTCGTTTATACTTTTCGAAAACTGACATGGAGCTTTTTTCCGACTAGTGAACTGTTTTTCTTTTTTGATCAAATATAGGGCCATATATTTGAACATATTGATCGAAACTTTCAAAAAATTAAGGTTTAAGTTTTGTTTAAAGGGTTTTAAAACTTTTGTTCTGCTTATTTCAGTTGGAAATCTTAGTTACAAAATGATGAATGGTAGACAAAAAGATATTTTTATCTCGCTTCCCAGGTCGACCAAAACGGATACTGTTTACGGGTCGTTTTCGGACAGTAAACGATTAAAAAACGGCTAGTTTACGCCCGAAAACGGTACCACTACATACCGTAAACACTCCGTATTAACCCGTCATACTTGATGCAGGAATACGGTCCGTATCCCACCCGTTTCGTAAACTGACCGTAATCGGCTGTTTCATCTCATATTACGAATAAAATACGACTAATGGTGTTGGTGCTGTAAACGGTCGTAAAAAGTAAGTATCTGGTCCGTTTACTATCAACTTTTTTTTATTTCCCGGTCATTTTGTTACTTCCACAGGAGCATCATTCTTCTTGTAAAGTCGTACATCCAGTGTAGATTTAATTTTCTTGATTTATTTCGAATACACAAAAACAGCAAAGTATAAAACAACACACATAAGCAAAGCAAAACAGTGTTTACAGTTCAATAACTAAATATCTACTACACTTTTCATATCGAAAGAGCTTGAAATATTTCAATGTTTTCATAATAAAAAAAGAAATCAATTAATATAGAAAGAAGCATGCATGTTTCATAGTAGTGTAGAAGGAAAACTTTCAAGATTTCATCAGCTTTGCTTCATAGACAAATGAAAGATGCACTATGTTTACCTAATTTTATCTACAATATTCATTGCTGTTATAGTTTTGTCTTATATTAATCGAAAGCAGCTGTTGAACCTGGTTGAAACAACTGTCGAGCTGCATCTTGTCCATTTTGTCGCTGAATCGCCTGTTTTCTTGGTTTTCGTGTTCCTTCGTTGTACACACAATTAGCTAATGATTCTTGAATTCTATCTTTGTAAAAACTTGTATAATGATGCTTCGCAATTCGATATCGTGTATGAACAGCATCTAAAGAAGAATAAAAAACTACTTATACATGAAAAATAACAAATGTTGGCTCCATCACTATTTGAAAGATCAATTCGTTCCGAATCTAATTCTGCCTTCGAATATTTTTGACTGTAATTCATGAGGTTTGAATAATATTTTTAGCAAATTTCTAGCATATTCACCGGCATTTCTTGCTGATACTTCCAGTAAATTACGACCTTCATCTGTCTATATAAAAAAATAATAAAGCTGTTATTCGCAGGGATTTATACCAAAACAAACTCACAATTTCATCATGAAAAATTTCTTTGCTATCTGAATCACGATAACGATCAAGATCTTGATTATTTTTCTGAATAATAAAAAAGAACTACTTGAATCATATTCTACAAGGAATAGAAAAAGTGCTTATCATAAGCACTTTTTGTGGTAGTACCACTGATATAATTGAACTAAAATGATTCATTTTTTGTGTTAATTTTGTTAATTGTTGATGAATATCACGATTATCTGATCGAGTATCTCGCAGATTTGTTTGTGTATTTTGTTCATGAAATATACGACGTAGCGATACTTTATCATCAATTGAAATGTGCTGATGTCATTCACATTTTCTACTTGTAGTTACTTGACTCGAATTTTGAGGAAAAGATGAATGATCAACAGGACGTTTCGTTGAAGGATTAGAACGATTTTCACTTGCCAATCGTTTCGATGAAGCAACTATAAAAAAATAGAATAAAATTAGAATGTCTATGTTAAAATTTCGTTAAACACATACGATGAATACCAGAAAATATCGAATCAGGAGAGTGAGAACGGTTCATTGATGATGTTTGACGTCGATATGGAGCAGCTACAAGCAACCATCATGTTTACATCAACATACGCTATCCTTTAAATGAAATACATACGTGTGGAAAACATATTTGTTGGCATTTGTAATGTCTGTTACATTGAAGCAGATATCTCATCTTCATCTTCACATTCGTCTTGAACTTGATCGCCATCATTGTTACCTCAAATGGATTCAGAGTTTATTTAAACTGAGCACACATTGGTGAATTTCTCACTGTTTGACATAGCTTTTTGTTTGCTCCAATAATCCATACATTTATCCTTAGTACCTGAATTGCATAAACATTTAGTTATTGATTCGTGTAATCTCTTTCTATCAAATCAAGAAAATATTACCTGATATAATCACTTTCACTATACGACCATCATTTAGCATAACTTTACCGTCATTTAAATGTTGTTTCGCACTTGAATTTCCGATAATCATCATGTTTTTTGTGTCGGTATAAAAAATCAAATGATAAGTCATCGCTCCCGTTGGGTTCGATGGAGAATATTGTGTCTTTGGCTTTATTAACCGGTTTTAAATTATTTGCGTTACTTTGCTTGTCATTGCTGTTTCAGAAAAATAAAATATGATCTAAAATATAAATTTCAAGTAACTTCGACAAACACTCTTCAACACGGTTCATAGGATTTATAATTGAAGATAAACCTACATATTCAATTTCTGAATTCTTTGAATTAACAAAAATCCATGATATCAATTTCTGAATTCTTCAATTCCCCGAATTAAGCAAAATCCATGGTTTCAATTTCTGAATTCTTGCATTCTTTGAATTTAAGAAAAATCTGTGATGCCAATTTCTGCATTCTTTGAATTAAGAAAAATCCTTGATTTAAATTTCTGAATTCTTTGAATTTACGAAAAATCCGTGATTTCAATTTCTGTATTCTTGAATTCTCTGGATTTAAGAAAAATCCGTGATTTCAATCTCTGAATTGTTCAATTCTTTGAATTAAGAGAAATCCGTGATTTCAATTTCTGAATTCTTTGAATTAAGAAAAATCAGTGATTTCAATTTCTAAATTCTTGAATTCTTTGAACTAAGAAAAATCCGTGATTTCAGTTTCTGAATTCATGAATTCTTTGAATTAAGAAAACTCCATGATTTCAATTTCTAAATTCTTGAATTCTTTGAACTAAGAAAAATCCGTGATTTCAATTTCTAAATTCTTGAATTCTTTGAACTAAGAAAAATCCGTGATTTCAATTTCTCAATCCTTGAATTCTTTGAACTAAGAAAAATCCGTGATTTCAACTTCTGAATTCTTGCATTTTTTTTAAATTAAGAAAAATCCATGATTTCAATTTCTGAATTGTTGAATTCTTTGAATTAAAAAAAATCCGTGATTTCAATTTCTTAATTCTTTGAATTTAGGAAAAATCTGTGATTTCCGTTTCTGCATTCTTTGAATTAAGAAAAATCCGAGATTTCAATTTCTGAATTGTTTGACTTTAAGAAAAATCCGTGATTTACGTATCTGAATTCTCTGAGCTTAAGAAAAATCCATGATTTCAATTTCTGAATTCTTTGAATTTACGAAAAATCCGTGATTTCAATTTCTGAATTCTTTGAATTTAAGAAAAATCTGTGATTTCAATCTCTGAACTCTTCAATTCTTTAAATTAAGAGAAATCAGTGATTTCAATTTCTGCATTCTTTGAATTAAGAAAAATCCGTCATTTCAGTTTCTGAATTCTCTGCTTTCAAGAAAAATCCATGATTTCAGTTTCTGAATTCTTCAATTCTTTGAATTAAGAAAAATCCGTGATTTCAATTTCTCAATTCTTTGAATTAAGAAAAATCCGTGATTTCTGTTTCTGAATTCTTCAATTCTTTGAATTACGAAAAATCCGTGATTTCAATTTGTGAATTCTTGGAATTACGAAAAATCCGTGATTTCGATTTCTGAATTCTTTGAATTTAAGAAAAATACGTGATTTCAGTTTCTCAATTCATGAATTCTTTGAATTAAGAAAAATCCATGCGCAACTTACGGTGCTGGATCCGAATATCATAGTGGTAACTGCTCAGAGACTTTCAGAGAGCATTTTTCTGGAAAATTAGTTTTTCAGAAACTCTAAAAAATAATCAAAATCTTTCTTAACTAGGCTTAATTGTAGTGCATAAATTTTTGATTAAAATGAGACACTGCTCAGTTCTACATGACCTTTCTTTTCAAAGTTATAGAATTTACAAGAAAAGCCCTAAATGTTCATTGTCAGCTAAAAGCTACAGAAATAAGAAGAAATTAATTTAGGGCTCTTCGTGTAAATTCTATA